TGAATACAAAATTGGGTTGTGGTCGTATTGGAGCTGTATCATTTTCTCCTAAAACTGATTTTTTAGAAGATGCACATTACTTGGCTTCTATAGATGAAGTTAATATTTATATCTGGAAAGTAAAAAGCATGGTCTGTGATCACATACATTCATTTGGAGTAAGTTATTTTGTTTAAATTAGAATTTAATTGACTTGTTATAAGTATTTAAATTGTTTAAAAAACTGTAGTAATAAATTGTCAGTTACATTTCATATTTTTAGTTATATATATAGTTAATCATCAATAAATAATAGATCATTGATTTTTTTCTCATTTAGAATAAAAAAAGTAAAAACATAACTCTATTGGACGTTACATGGTTATATGGATGTTTAACCGTTGTAGCTTTGTCAGATGCTGGGACTTTACACAAGTGGGATATTCAAGCATTAACAATGCGTAATTATACGTTAGATATTAAAGCCTCTCCTTTAACATTAGCAGCTTGTCCTCATAAAAAAAATTTAGTTGCTATAGGATGTAAAAATGGTCATCTATTTGTGTATGACTTAACTGGTATGATTAAATAATAATTCAATATATGTTTAGAAATTTAAAGTTAACTTTCTTTAGGTGATGGTCAACTATTACACAAATTGCATTATCACGAAAGAAATATAAATTCATTGGCTTGGTGTCCAGTTCCTTATAGTCCATTAAATACTACTGATCAATCTACTGAACCTTTATTACTAGCATCAATAGCCTGTGATAGAACTGGCTTATGTATAAGTCGTGCTGGCTTAGATATGTTTAATGAAACTACAGTTGCATTACCTATGAGACCAATGAGAAAAACTACTTTTAGGTATATATACTATATTATTACTTACAAAATTTTTCTAACTTTTCTTACACTTTTTTTTAATTAGGACTGAAAACTGCTGTTTTTGCATACATAATTGAATTTATATTTATTTTCAGGAATAAAAATAATTTAATTTGGAGTTGTGTTAAATGGATAAAACCCACAATTCTTATTGTTACATCTGGTTTTGGAGAAATTATTAAAGTAGAAATTAGACCAGATATGGTATCTGGGCCAATAGTGTCTTTGATTAGTGATTCCCACAAGGATATAATWTTTTCTATAGCATGTCCTCGGTACAGATAATTCTAAAATATAAATGTTGTCATTTGTGTAATAATTGATATTTTTTGTAAATTAGAGAATCGACTAAATTATATTTATGGTCCTCATGTATGGGTAGAAAATTAATTCGAACTCCCTTACTAAGGAGTAAAGAAGAAATTTCTGAATTACCATTGGAAGTACCAACACTTGGTGGTTTTGTTTATTGCTTTTCACTTTCCCCAGTAAATTCAGCTGAGTAAGTATGCAACAAATATACCATTTAAATTTTAAATTATTTAGTAGCATAGTATATTATATTTTATTATATTTGAATCATAATTAGCTTTGCATTTGGTCTTGGCGATGGAAGAATTTATTACTGGAATGTATCCAATAAACGTCAATTAGAACTAATTACCTTAAGTCAGTCCGTAGACTCAAAAGTGTTAGCTGTAAGTGTGACAGATTAATTTGGAACTTTTTTCCAGAAAACCGGGCATTGTTTTTAAAGAATTAAGCTTTGTTTTTTCACTTTTTAAGTATGAAATAACAAGTGAGCTGACCTATTATTTGACAAGTACAGTACTATGGTCTATCTGTAACAGTCCTACAGCTATAATTTTGAATCTAATGATATGTATCAATTTTTGTTTGCATCATATTTTTTGGTTTTAAAAGTATATAAGATTTATAAAAAAAAAATTAAAATATTGGGTGCCCGGTTAACTAGAAATATACCCCATACACAATTAATTTAAATATTTAAATATAATTTTTTTATTTCCTTTTAGTTAGCATTTCATCCACAAGACGAAGGTTTATTAGCATATGCTACAGGTGATGGACGTGTTGGAATTTTTAATTTAACAAGAAAACGGAATAATAATAATTTATTAAAAACTGTACTTGCTAATCCAATTTACCGGTTATGTTGGGCACCATTTCCAAATACAAAGATGATTAAAGATGCAAAACTGGCTCTATATGCAGTTGGTAATGGGCAAATTGTAATCTATAATGACATGAGTCTTTGGA